ACCCGAGACTGTCAAACAGAACTTTGAAGACCAAGGAAGGATGCCGAGGATGAAAATGTGGAGAAGTTTAAAGCAGGGGTTTGTGGTCAGGTTATGAAAACATCTCACAGAGCCCTGTTCAAGCCATCGCCCAAACACAGAAAGAGCTATTTTTACAAAGATTACAGTGTCCACACTTTCCAAGCTGGTAGCGACATGCCCTAAAACACTTAACGAGACTTAACATTTTTAATTGTTCACAACCTCGTGCCTTTGTAGTCACCATGTTGATATTGTTTCTTGTTTGACCCCCAAAACGTTGCAGATTTGATAAACTAGCCTGCAGCTCCCACATTCCTCTTTTACACCAATGACATTAGAACAGATGCTTGTTATTTTACATCATGCAGGACATAATGTTAATGGTCTCTGGTACTTTTGAACCTGCTGTATATGTGATAAAAGTAGCTACTGTGACTGGTAGTTGTGCTGATGTTGATATCAATATAACCCGAACCTCCACTGCAGAGATTAAAGGATTGAAGAACATAAAAAGCACACACAGGGCAGTTTTTAACCTTCACAAAGCTTAAATATACATGATTTCCCTCAAAGCATTCGTAACACTTGTTTCCACGTCTGAATAAAAAGATAGAGAACATAAAGAATCTAAGCAGATTGTCAGCTGACCTGATCTTGGCTGCTTCTGTGCTCGCCCCATATCTGATTATACTTCTGCACAAACGTTGTGCATTTGTCATTCTTGGAGATCATCAAGATGTGTTCTGGCAAAACCGAGAAAACCTTTATGCGAGCCATTTCCACCCATGAACTCTGACCTTAACTTTGACCTTAACTGAGACCTGCAGTTCTTTACATGTTGTTCTGGGGTGACCTCTTGGATTAGTCTTCTCTTGGGTAATTTTGGTCTGCCGGCCACTCCTGTGAAGGTTCACCACTGTTCCATGTTTCTAACGTTTGTGGATAATGTTAGGGATGGGAACAGACGTTTCGACACTGCTTCTGAAGCGGTTGCTTCAAAACACTGCTTCTGAAGCGTGGTTTAAAACATCCAGATCACATGGCTACGACTGAACAAGGTTTTGGTGTGCTTCACCCCAGCTGGGACAGGTGGCGTACCTGCTGCTTTGAGAAATTGCGAGGTGCCAGGATTCCATTTTTTATGAAGCAGAATCATTTGTAATTACTGAATTATATTTTTGATACCACCTCATCTATTTCTTATACACACATTTGTAAAAAATGTTGTCTACTTTAAACAAAAAATGTTATTTGCTGCATCACATCCTCACTCTAACATCCTGCCGGTGTTACAAGATAAAACATCCACAGGAGGATAAAGGAGCTTCATCGTGGTTCAGTGTTTGCTCAGCAACACGGATGTAAACAGAGGGATCAGTTTGTTGAAGCACTGCTGTCTTTAACAGTCTCAATCTTTTTCTTGCATTGTTTGTACAAGGATTTAGCCAACAGATGTGCAGATCACCATTACTGACAGTCTGGTATTATAAGTAGCTTTGCTGTCTGCCACATTTTTTAAATAATAAAATAGATTAATAAAAATAGTACAATTAAAGTACAAGAAAAGACAGTTGTACAAAAGATTATTTTAAGTACTGATAAAAATTATGTTTAGGTTTTATAGAATTATTTTACTAATGATTTTGAGTAAAGAGTACTATTGTAAACTTGATTTATCTAATGCATAATTTAAGATTCTATGTTAATAGAAATTAAAAATGTAGTTTCACCTTGAGTAAAAACGATTGATTACGGCAGTTTAATGTCAACTAATTGTTGGTCAGAGTGTAGGTAACAGACATCTTTATTGCTGCCGCAATAAAACATAAAAATAAGACGAGAAAATAATTGGTTAAATGCTGAAAACTGTTTGTATAATATTCAGAGTTGTGTGACACTATGTTTTATGACGCATGAACCTCTAATAATCATGTTGTTAGGCGTAACTTTCCGGGAGCTGCGACAGCTGGAACCGCTGCCGAAAACTGTGGCGGTGACGGGAAAACGGGACGCGGTGTCGTGAGTATCCGCACCGGTGAAGAAGTTAAGCCGAGCGGTGAAACTGAAGTTGTGGGGAAGGTTGTGGATTGTCCCACGAACTGCAGTCTTTACCAAAGGCAACCGTATCCTAACTT